TCCGGTCCGGTCCCTTCAAAATTGGGCCCGGCCTGGCCCGTGCCCAGCCCTATTACTACCTAGCATGAGATGAAGATGGAAGTCAGGAGATGAGTTGGGTACTTTATTAGATTTTTAGTAGAATTAGTAATTAAGGGAATTCCTTGTGTTGTGTTCCATATAGTTGGATGCTAGTTGATATGTGGAATCAATAGCAGGTATGCATATAATTATGTTTAATGTGTGATGATGAGATTGCACCATGTAGTTGTGGTACATGGATGGTCTTGCTTTGTATGTCTGCAATGCTAGAGGTGATGATGATTGGTTGTACATGGTACATTTTTAGGCGATCGTATTTGGTTTGGTTCCGTTGAGTGGTCCGGAACCCACTTGTGCTATTTTTCTTTTCTTTGCTTGACAAATCTTACAAAACACAAAAGCAAAGTAAATAGCTCAAAAATATAAGGAACTAACTAAAAAAAGACAAGTGAATTTGATGTAAAATGTATATAAATATGAGTTTATGAAATACCCCCCCCCCCCCCCCAAACACATAGTTTTTGCTAGTCCTCGAGCAAAACAAAGAAAACATGAAAAAGTAGCAACACGAAAAACATTAGCTTCCCCCTATGTGACCCTCATAGAATCTCATTCAAGAAAACAAATCAAGAACCTTAGCAAGCACCAAACAAGCTAATCCAAGCTCATCTTCCTTATTCAAATGTTAGCAGCAACCTTTTAATCATCCTTGAAGTGTAGTGTGTGTAATAGCCATGCTAATGCAATTTTAAGGTTTTTATTTATTTATTTATTTTAAACACCACATGCAAACTATTGACCTTCTTACAGGACATACACTCAATCACACATATGTTTAGTTTAATGTGTTTCGCTCAAAGAATCAAATGTGAAAGATCTACCATAAGCTTGTATAAAGATCACATCTCCACAATCATAATTGCAAAACTCAAATCAAGTGGACTTTTATTGGATGTAATGAGGCTTAGGCAGAGGGCTATTGAAATGAAAGGATAGGTAAACACAAATTCCAAGCTACTTGGCAAGAAATTCTCTTGTTGAGATTTATAAGAACCCTAGCCTTCCAACCACTCTACTAATACCTTCAATCACACCCCTAAACTGAAACTTTGAAAACATTTTATTTGCTTTGTATACAATTTTCTTTTTTTTTATTTTTTATTCTTTTCTATTTTGACCATTTTTTTTTAGTGAACCATTTTGCACATAACTAAATACAAACACGAAATACCCCAACACTTATTCTTTTGCCAAACACCTTCAAAGTACTTTACAAACATTTCTCATAAGACAATCTCACATTGCTTACTAGCTAGCTTGGAAAGGGTAAGGAAAAATGTTTAAGGTATAAGCGTAGACATATCTGGTGATAAGAAATAAAAGGCTCAACATATACGGCTCAAATTGGCAATCTAATGATATCATTTTTCCTTAGGAAACATGGTTATTTGGGTCATGGTGATAAACCTAATGACTCTATACTTTTCAAGTTCATGCAATCAAATGACAAACATTTTGAAAGATCGTTACGCAAGTTCTAGAGATGTAAGTCACCTAAGTTCATCACACATGACAGAATATGAGTGTATGAAAAATGCACATGCTTCCAATAAGCTCAAAAACTCACATATGTTGTATATGGTCACTAAGTTCACATACGAAGCTTTAAGTCATGCTTTAGTTTCACATCAACAAGGCTATGTGAATTTGGTATTTCAAAGATGATTAAACTTGTACAAAGCTAACAAGAGAAGAAGGAATTTCACACAACACATGCTTACTAAGGTCTTGATCACTGTGGTTCAAATTCGATCCAATTATATTGTTGGGTCGGGAAACTAACAAAATCTACTTCAAAACAATAAAGAAAACAAGACTATTTTTTTGAATTTTTACATTTTCTGAAATTGAAAAAAAAGAAAAAGTAAACAAAACTAATTAAGAAAACAAAAAGAAACAACACGGAAACAAATCAAACCAGTTTTTAGTCGAAGGTTCGAAAATTTTCAATTTGGTCATTTTTTAATTCTTACCCCCAAACTTAAACTCCCCAATGTCAGAAAACACTATAATGCATAAAAAAATAATAATAAGAAGAAGCAAAATAAATCATTCGGACTGAAAACTTTCCTAATTTGTAGTAAAATCAAATGATGACCCACAAACTTCAATTCTGTAATCAACTCCAAGGATGGACATAACCAAATGTTCCTACAAAGAAAAGAAATAATTCAGTTTAGCACGCAAGAAAATTCAAAAGAAAAAAAAAACAAATGGAAAATTGAAAAAGACAATGAACAAAAATATTGGGTTAGCTCTCAATAAGCGCTTACTTTTACGTCCACAGACAGACAGTACGATCAATGCTCTTGGACCTTTGAGTATGCAAATATTACGAAGAGTACCTGAAATAAAATCAAAAACACCAATTAAACAAGAAAAGAAAACAAGAGAAAAATAAGTAATTAGAAATAACAATCCCCGGCAACAGCGCCAAAAATTTGGTAGGATTAAAAGCACACCACAAAGTAGCACACAAATGTCCTATTGATTTTCCTTATTAACATTAAGATTTGTCAATTGTAACATATGAAAATAAGGGTCTTTCCTGCTGAAGATTGTTTTAACTGACTACTTAAAATATCACAAAAACTAGGTTGTTGTCCCTAGTGACTAGCCACCGAAATATAATTATTAGACCTACTTACACTTATCTAAGGTCTACGAAATTTTATATGCAGACACTAGACACACAGAGGTACACTTGCACCAAATTTTTAGGATTTTCATAGTTGATTTGCTATTTAAATTAAATCGAACAAAAATAGGACAGAAACAGATTTTAAGTAATTCACAAATTAATAAAAACAAGTTAGGGAGATTGCTATCCACCACCACATAATCATGCAAACATGTTATGTTTCATTCAAATTCATTTTATTTCTGGATGAAGATGCTCAAGTTGGCTCAATGTTAGAATTCAACCTATTACTCTTTCTTATGTAGTATGTTAAGAGAATAGCATTTTCAATTTAACTTAGTCCCTAACATGCAATCTAGAATGGTGTGTTCATAGATTTAACAAGTAGAAATCATTAAGAATGAAAAGAGTTTTGATTCATCACAAGACATTGTAAGTACTGGCATTGTCTTACTTATCCTAGAAATTCGTTCACATGTTAATCGCAATTAACAAGTACAACTCTAGAACATATGTAGGTCCTCATTCGACAAGGACAAGCACACACATATTCATAGTATTAGAATCCTAGATATGCTTACTAAGTATGCATCCGTAGAAGACACATAAAGAATTCATCACTGACATAAGTAGTAAACTAATTTTCATCCATTCATAAAAGCAATTCAACGAAAAGTCATAACAAACTTGCAACCATATTCGGGGCTTCAAAACAGCCCCTAACTACTTAAAAACTTAGTTACACATCATAACTGAAAAATAATCTAAAATAAACATTGAAACTTAAAACAAAGAATTCATGGAAATGGGATTCGGATGGGACGGGGTTCCTGGGATGCTCCCCCCTCCCCGTTGCTCTCTGCCGTATGTTTTTTCTGTCCTCTCTCCCTTCTGCCTTTTATTCTGCTCTCTGCTCCCTCTATCGCCTTAAACAAGAGGCAGCTTCTTTCCAAAGCCACCGAGACCCCTAGTGGAAGACCAGCTAATTCCATATTCTCCACCCATCTGAGTTCATGATTGCTGTTGGCATTTTCTAAAGGAAAAATTTCACTTCACAGTGGGCACCCGTGCTCTCTGCCATTCCCTGCTGCTTTCCACTTTCTCCAAAGGCAAATGAGTGCAATCAAAACCCCATTTCCCGCGGAGTGTTGATGACAAAGCAAAGCACAAAACAAGTTCCTTTACTTTCTTATTTTATTAGCCAAATGGAGTAGGCAGATTTGACCATAACGTTTAGTAGACCAAAAGTCCTTAGAGGTAAATGAATGAGATGTCCTTAGAAAGCTTGAAAGGTCAGCTGGCTTGTTCATGGCTGATTCAGTTTTGGCTGCTAGATTTATTGGGTTTATTGTTTTCATTGCAGTTACAAACTGCTCAGCCTCTTGAGAACCTTTCAGTGTTAAAATGACCATAACTTCTTCTAGACAAATGATATTAACAATCCGCAAAATGCTCCAGAAAATAGACATCGTAGCTTTCCAAGAATACAAGGCTCATTCTCTCACGCATTCTGAGCTGTTCGCAACTTGCTTCCAAAGTCAGCTGATCAGCACAGGCAGTTTTGACGAATTTGTTACTTAAAATCCTACTTGTGCTATTTTTCTTTTCTTTGCTTGACAAATCTTACACAACACAAAAACAAAGTAAATAGTTCAAAAATATAAAGAACGAACTAAGAAAAGACAAGTGAATTTGATGTAAAAAATATACACACTGATCATATTAATTAGTGCACATATAAAGAGATAGAAAACATAGGGAAATATGCGGGAAAACACCAATCAGACACAAATAACATACACACTATAAAGAAAACGAAAAGCATGGAACAAATAATTCAGTTTTATTATTAAATTTTCTGAATCCCCAATTTAAATCCATTATAAAGATAATGCCACCAACTAAGGGTAGCAATCTGACCGTGATTGCGTATGTCAGTGGACTTTATGCAACTCAATATATAAAATTTAAGAAATAGCAATCTGACTGTGGTTGTGTATGTCTCCTAAGCATCTGCAAACCATTAACATCACACCAACTTAAGAGCTAGCAATTACACACATACATGCTTAGTTATCTCAAGCTTTACATAAATGGACAGATACAGGCACACACATAAAATAGAAAGAAGTTCAGTTCCAGTTCTAGTTCAAACGAACAAAATTGAATTATATATTTAAAATCCAAGCATGAAAGCTTTACGGAGATAAATTAAAAAAATGCAAATAACTAATTAGACTTTGAATAAAAATGAGGGTTTATAATTATATACCTCAAAATGGTAAGGAACCAACTTCTTCCTCCAACGATCCAAAAGTTCAAATGAAAAAAAATTGAATTATATATTTAAAATCCAAGCATGAAAGCTTTACAAAGGTGAATTAAAAAATGTAAATAACTAATTAGGCTTTGAATAAAAATGAGGGTGTATAATTATATACCTCAAAATGGTAAGGAACCAACTTCTTCCTCCAACTATCCAAATTTTTGAAATTTCCAAAGTAAATCCATTAGGGTTTAGGGTTTAGGTTCTAAGTTCAAATGAAAAAAATTGAATTATATATTTAAATCCAAGCATGAAAGCTTTACAGAGATGAATTAAAAAATGTAAATAACTAATTAGGCTTTGAATAAAAATGAGGGTGTATAATTATATACCTCAAAATGGTAAGGAACCAACTTCTTCCTCCAACGATCCAAATTTCTGAAATTTCCAAAGTAAATCCATTAGCAACTCAGAGACTTTCAAATTCGAGGACCAAATCTAATGAAATTTTAGTTAAATGACCAAAGCCACACCCAAAAAAAATAAAAAATAAAAATGAGATTTTAGAAATATTTTGAATCCAACACAATTAATCTGGTCTAACGGATACTATGAAAGCTTAAGGCCTAGGTAAAATGATCAGTAAACTGCAAGGGGCCTCGGCCAAGGCCATAATTGAACAGTCATGTGATACAACTCAAAATTACTATAATACATTTGGATATAAAGGAAAATTAAATTTATTCAATTTCAATATAAAGAAAATTACTTAATGCAGGAACAACATTTGTGACTCAATGGCGTGAGAAACAAATAACCAAGTTTATATGTTGCAGTTCAAATAACAGAATTATAGGTTCATAACAGTCCAAATAAACTTCACCAAACCAACATGGCATAACATGAAAATTGAGTCGATTACATAACTTTTATTCTATCTTGTGCCAAAGTGTTTATGCTAGTATGCCCTCTTATGTTTAAGGAGCAATTGAAAGAAAATAGTTCATGAACGTCACGCTTTTGCTGGTAGCATACTGCATCCAATGAATTTGATTTCACAACAGTGACAACCAAAAGATCAAATAACATAGTGGACGAAAAGCAAAGATTAATAACCATACACTTAACAATTTTCTTTTGTGAACAAATTTGTCATTTGCACCTAATTTAAAGTCATACTTGTGTAGAGATATAATCATAACAAATAGAAAGACTCAATCCATCGCTAACACCAGCAACCATAATTTCCTACTAATTAACAACTTAGCTCAATAGGTTTCTCAGGAATTAGGATGCCTAAGACAGTGATTTAATATCTTGAAAATCAAATCAAAGCTACGAAGCGATTCACTTCAAGCAATCAACATATCAAACTCAGTCCAAGTTCACCAGCCGCATTCAGATATATGCTCGAAATAATTCATTAATACAATATAAAAGAAAAAAAACAGTTCATAGATATATTTCACTATTCGAATCACAAAATTGAATGCAATAACAATTCTTGGATACAGCATCTATAGTTTTGGGATCCTTCAATGTTATGAAACATGCACACCGATCTTAAAACTACAAATGTAAGCACCGAACTCTAAAGGAATAATCTCTGATACAGCATTTACATATCTGCATTATTTCATCCCCTTAACATATATTCTAAACCATTTTTGTGCACTACAAATTCGAGAAAGAATCAAGTCAGCCTCTGCCATGCAAATGATTTGTTCCACTTCTTTTCTCCAGTTCCCAAAACTATAGATACTATTGTAATAAAACATACATGGCCCTCACACAGCAGCCCCCTAGCAATCTAGCAAAGAGAGATTTACGTCAAAAGAGAAAAAGAAAAAGAGCTTTAAATGCGAGTTGTTTGGTGTGGTTTTCATTTCTTTTCTTTTCTTCTCTCACAGACTAAGTATACACCTATCCATCCATCTTCCCTTTATGTATAAATCTATATCAATGTATTAAAAGCGTGAGGCGTGGGCGAGGCGTCCGAGGCGAAGCCTAGCCTAGGCGTGAGGCGTGAGGCGAAGCCTTACAGGATTTAATTTTTTTTTATATATATGTTTTATATATTATACATATAATTGTATAAAAAATAATACTATGTAAAATAAACATCCATTCTCAATTTTTCATTCAAATCCATAGTCATTCAAAAGATAATATCATTTAAATTCATCATTCAAAGGTAATATCACCCAAATTCATCATTCAAAAGGTAATACAAACAAAGAAAACAATCATTCATCCAAATCATCTTCATATAAATCAAAATACAAACAAAGATATAAATCATTCATCTAAATCCTCTTCATCTAAATAAATCCTCTTCATCTAAATAAATTTCTAACAATTTATTAATTAATTTATAAATTAATCCTTTAATTAATTTATTAACAATTAACCCTTTAGTGCCAATTTCTAACAATTTCTAACAATTTATCTAAGTGCCAATTTATGGCAGTGCACATGGACACAATTTATGGCAACAATTTATGGCAGCCGGCAGAAGCATTAAGTTTATGGTATAAGACTATAAGTGCAAAACAGTTTGGCAGCCACACAGACATAAAACAGTGGGCTCTGTCCCCTGTTTTCTATTCTGCTTCTTCCTCTCTCTCTCTGTCCCCTGTTTTCTATTCTGCTTCTTCCTCTCTCTGTCTCTCTCTGTCTCTCTCTCGCAGAGCACCTTCGGCCTTCCCCAGAAAATGCAAAACCAGAAAACTAAATCCCCATTAACCCCAGAAAACTATTAACCCCTTCCCCAGAAAATAAATCCCTAATTTCAGAAACCCTAACCTTTGGGATCTTGCTGACGGCGCTGGGGCTGGGCTGATGGCGCTGAGGTGACGGCAGCGGGGTGATGGCGGCGTGGCGGCGTGGCGGCGTGGCGACACCGATGTTCTGAGCCTCTGGGCTTCTGGCGCGCAGGAGTAGAAGAAGCAAGGCAGAGCCGCAGAAGGCAAAAGGCAGAGGCAGAAAAATGGGTCGAATTTGAAGGTATGGTGGGTGAAGACTGAAAATCCTTACCCAAACGACGTCTTTGGGTTTGGATAGTTAAAAAAAAAAAAAAAAAAAAAAAAACGTCCAGACGCCTTGAGGCGCGCCTCCGCCGCCTCAGCGTCTCCGGCGAAGCATTTCGCCTACTCCAGGAAAACTGAGGCATTTGCCTCTCCGCCCAGCCTCAAGGGCGCCCTAGGCGCGCCCCGAGGCGAGTTCTTTAAAACATTGATCTATATACACACACATATATTCATACACATCTACACACACACACATATATTTATATTTTATATACACAGACAACATTGAGTTCAATCCAAATCCATAGTCCTAACAATGTACGTAACACATCAGAAACATAAATCCGATGTACCTCCAACAGACACTTGAACCATCTTTCCAGAGTCAGCATCGCTTTCCTTTGCCCTTTTTCACTTTCTACTCTCTGCAGATCCTAACTTTTAATCTGGAAACATATAAAAACTACAAAATCGCAAAGCAACAATACATTTGCAGTAACTGTTTAAGTCAGAACATATTGATCATGATGAATTGCAGCATTAGCATTCTAATTAGAAAATTGTAGCCATAAAATTGAACATTTCACTACCGTGTTTAATCACATTAAAAAATCCAATTATCGATAATTACCTTCGCAGAAGCTTGAATTTCTCTGGCAGTCACATCCAAAGCAAGTGCATAACCTTAAACCATCCGATTTTCGCTAATCAGGTTTAAACTGAAAACCAAATCATTAACAGCATCGTCATACTAAAACTAAATCATTAGCAGCAGCATTATTAACTGATTAATTAAACTAAATCATTACAGCAGCATAATCAATCAAGTTGATGCATATTTCAATCAAACTGATGCATATTTCAATCGAGCCTCATTAAAAACAGAAAATACAGCAACACAAAGCATAACAAAAGCTTGGAAATGGAAAAGGAACCTGCAATTAGGTTTCTTTGAGAAGCAAAAATGGCAGAACAGAACCCAAAATCACAAAGACAAAGACAGAGTGGAGTGAGTCGGAGGATACAGCAAGACTGGACCTTTCTACCAGGCAAACAATAGGGACCCGGCTCCTCTGCCCTCCAGTTCCCTATACACTTTCATCCTCTTCTATTTTGTCCAGTCACGGTTAGATACGTTAACATTTTATATATATATTTTTTTTTATAAAAATAATAAGACAAAAAAAATAGTGATATAAATATTGACAGAGCTTAATTATGACAGTACAAATAAGAGAGGATGAGAATGTACGGGCACAAGGAGGGCAAAGAAGCCAGTCCCTCTCTCTCTCTCTCACATCAGAGGAAACCTAGGGGTGGTTCGGTATGGGATACCATACCGAAACTAGTATCCCGAATCCCAAACCGAAATTTTTCGGGACGGTAATTTGAAGACCAATCCCAAACCAAATTTTCGGGAATCCCAAATTTCGAGAATCCCGAAATATTTTCGGGATTTTGGGACAAATCGGGAATCCCAAATTGAAATATGAAATTATGAATTGTTCTTCAAATATATAATTCAAGAATACATTTATGAACTAGGAATTTCATTTCATTCACACTACTATTTAATTGAACACTGGCATGCTTGACTCTTTTTATCATAGTCAAAATTCAAATTAATTAAACTCTTTTTGCAATCTGTTGAGAGACAAAAGAATCAAGCCTTCTGAAATCATCAGCCATGGCAGCAGCAATAATAAAATCCACATGAATATCAAACAAAACATGAAAAATATGCAAGGTGTAGGGCATTCTAGGTTGCTGAGCATGAATTAGAAACTACTAGCATCAATTATAAAAGAATAATATATATATGTATAAATATATATAATAATTAATATTATATATTTTCGGTTTGGTATGGGATTCCCAAAATATCGAGAAGCCAATCCCGAATCCCATACCGAAATTTTGGGATTGGTTCGGGATAGCATTCCAAAAATTTCGGGAATTTCGGTTTGGGAAATTTTTGGTTTGAGATCGGGATTTTTTCGGTTCGGTTCGGAATTTTCGGGAATTTTTTCCACCCCTAAGGAAACCCCATAGATCCTGGCAGAGGACCTAGCTAAATCTCTCTCTCACTGAGTCGAAAACCCTAGCTCCCATCTCTCTCCAATCTGTCAGTCCCTCTATCCTCCCCCAACCACCCGAAGCATAGCCATCTCTCCCCAAGTCAAAATTCGCGGCCCTCCCTCTTTCTCCATTCTGTCAGCCCTCCCCATCTCTAATCTGCAGGTGACCCCTGCTCTCTGTGGGTGATTGTGTGCCCAAACCCCATTCCCGTCCCCCCAAACCCCATTCCAACCAACCAAAAAAAAAAAAAAGCCCCACCCGGAGCCCAAACCCACAAAGCCTTTTTTTTAAAAAGGAATGGCATGCACGTAATACAATTAGATGTGGTCCACCTAATACCTAATTTCTTCTCTAGGACACGATAGTACACACCCACATCTCTTATGCGCCGTTTACGTAATCGGAATCAAAACAAGAGGAATTGAATTATGGAGAAATTAAAATAAGAACGAATCAAAATTAAATTCATGTTAAAATTGTTTACTTAAATATTTTGAAATCGGAATAAAAATAACAATGAATTCATATAAGTTATTTATTAATTCACCTCAATCAGATTGAAAATCAGTGTGATTATTATAATGCCCATCTTAAAAAAAAAATTAATTTGTATACAAATTTATTAGAAAATCTCTGCAAATCTCATCCTTCCCTCCTTCGGTGCTTCCCTTGGAAGTACCAGTGCTCTTCACCAGAGCCATAATTCTCTTTTCTTCCTCGAGGAGACCCATGGTATCAATAATGCCCTTATTCAAACCCAATTGAATAGAATACTCCTCTCCCCTTGCAATTTTTCATATCTTTTATCCGTGTCCTCACCTCCATCTTCCCCCGCATCTGTGGGTTTCAGTTTGGTTTGAATTGTTTATTTTCAGGATTTGGGTGATTGATTTTTGAATCCGATTTTGGGATACGTGGATGGGGTTCTTGAGCTAGTGAGTTGGGTAGTGAAGGTTGCACGGGGGTGAGTTGGTGGGTTCGGTAGTGAAGGTCGCACCAGGGGGTGGAACTGGAAGGTGAGGTGTGCCGCATGAAGCAGAGTGCGCAGGGAGCGGTGGGGAGCGGTGAGTTGAGTGGTAGACTTGAAATTATAAAAATAATCAGAGGGCATAATAGGCAGGAAAAATGCATTCCCATTACCTCAGTCTCCGAGAACTCAAATACCTATAGGGATTTCAATTCCTCCAATTTGGGGAGTTGGATTCCCTCTTTCAAAATTAGTAAACGGTTCAATACTCCATAATCGGAATTTAACTCCTTATTTTGATTCTGATTACGGGCACTTAAATACGCTATTAGTTCAGAAAATCAAACAAGCCCAAAATACTTGTTTAAAATTTGTACGAAATTTTTTTTTTAAACTCTATTTACGAATATACTTTTACAACAAGTCAAATCACTCACAACTGAAATCTTAAATATTAGTTGTGCCGAAAATTTTAGTAATTCAAACACAGAATTTTCAACAAATACATCGAAAAATTATCAATATCGGTGAAAGTTTAATAAAAATGAAGGGCATTGTAAGAAATAAATGAAATATGTAATCAAACTTTAGAATATGTGTATTTAGGTAATTATCTATTATTTTGATCAAAGAAATTTGAAGGACTTGATTGCAAAGCGGGTTTGATTATTTAAAGTGAATATAATGCATGCTGACCAACAGAATTACTCTATCTCTAGTGAGTAGGAAATTTAATAAATTAAAGTTATATTGAACTTTATATTTGACTCAATCTTCTCTAATGCACGAAAAAAATTTAAGATCATATGATTTTAAAGTTATATGCAGAGTATATATGACTTTGAGTTAAAAAGTAGTATTGCATGTAAATTTTTTTTTTATTTTTTATACTATTATTAGGAGAAAAGCAGAGGGGAGAGTTTGAAACTGTTACAATAATTCAAGGGATGAGGAAGTTTCGAACCCGGGACATATAGTAGAAACTCAACAACCAATCCACTAGAATATTGGATTACAAACAATTATTAACATGTATGTTAGCCATATGAATTTGTGTTTGCAACTTTTGGTGTAGGTAGGTATAATATGGGTCAGCTTGCTTGAGTGACCCCCATGATCCTCATCCAAGGTTGCATGCGTGGAATCTGCTTCACCGATTAACTGGGTTATGAAAGAAGAAGAAGAGTCGCTTAACATGAAAAGAAGGCAAGAGGTTCGAACTCTGCCTCCCACGCTTGATTTTCTTACATTCTTTCTATGGCGAACAAGGACAATAAAATTGAAAAAATTACAGTAAAAACTTCGTTTAGTGTTGGACTTAAATATGCACACCTAAAGTAAACAATAATAACGATCTTCAATACGATATTATCAACATTTTGGTATCTGCCCACTATAAACATAACCTTTACTAAATTTTTGGTGGTCTAGAGCGAGAAACTAAAATAGGGCCCCTTCCGACACATTATTTCACAAGGATAATAAAATGTTCAAATTTTTTCTTTATATTCATTTTTTGGGCTTAAAACATAATAGTTTGACTAAAATAAATATATAAGAATACATTCATTGAAAATTTATTATTCTAGCATTTTTAGAGTCAAAATCATCATGCACACATTTTCAAAATCAAGCCCTTACAATATATCCTTATCAAAGTACAAGATTGCCAGTTCATTTATCCTTTCATGTGTCCATGTGTCCATGTGTCATAGTTGACTCAACAACTTCAATCGTATTGCTTCTTTTTTAGTTTTTTATATCACGAAAGAATGGCTCGTTTTGATGTGATACTTAATAAAGTGTTTTTACTAATTAGCGTCTTTTGTTTGTAGCATTTTTCAGTAGCGTTTTTATGAGAAAGCAATTTGTTGTTTGGCACGCAACCAACTAACTGCTTTTATATTGTATAGAAGCACTGGGAAAATTTAGTGATGGCAATTTTGATGATTTTTTTAATGTGTAATGGCATTTTAGACTTTGCAAATTAAAAAATAGGGATAATTTTGGAATTGAAAAAAAAATCATTAAATGAGCAAAGTGCTTTCCTTGTTTTCCCTGTACAACACTTTTAGGAGGAATCGGCTTGGAGGTGTTTCTTAGAAAATGTTTGTTAGTGCTTCTACTTCTAACTAAAAGCACTTTTAAAATATTTGCCAAACGACCATTTTTTTAAAACTAAAGTGTTTTTTACTCATTAAGAAGCGTTTTTGGCTCTTTCAAAAGCATAACCAAACTAGCCCTAAAACTAAGTTAGAATCTAGAAATATTTGAAGGGAGATTGAGAAGGAGATAATGTAAAGAAAAAAAAGGCGTAATATTGTTGTTTGCACGATAGGTTTGGGAAAGAGATAGGCGCACGATAGGTTTGTCAATATATAATTTATTTGAGCTCCAATACATGCTAGAGTTGTATTCTTGGAAGAAACAATATTTTTATATACGCCATTGTTAATATATATATATATATATATATATATATATATATATATTACCTAATAATAGTCCAATGCCAAATTATATAGTCGTATGAATTTCATGTCCAACTTGAGATTAGAAATGTAATAATATAACTAATGCTTAACTTTTAATTAAGTTCGCCAAATTTAGTATCATAACTCAATTACTTTTTAAAAGCTTATAGTATAAGTTTATCCAATACTTTTCAATATTACACTTTATGATACCAAATGTCATCCACCCTTAAAAGTATGTAAGTTTTCCTCTACACTCACATATCCACACATCAGACTAGCCGCTCTGTATAAAACTAGAAATCCACAAATTCTAAGATCAAAGACTAAAATCCAACGTTTAATGAAGCATTGAAGAAGACACGCTGTCGTCAATCACTAGCGACGTATGACATCCAACATTGAGGCATGCCTAAAATTCTAAATTTGTAGAAATTTAAGTATTCTTTTATAATTTTTCTGAAAATAATTGAGAAATCTGGTTTTTAAAAACTGAAAAATCTTGCCAACATTTATACACACCAAAGTTCTAACTGTAAAAAGATTTTAGAGTTTTAATTTATCCTCTATAGTCCATAATATTTAT